AGTTGGCTGCTGCTTATTTACAAATAAAGAAAGCACCGATGGAAACACTAAAATAATAATTAAGACTGAACTAATTCACAGAGCAATAAATGTAGTACAGTAGTGCAGAGTCGTTTTAAGTTTGTCAATACTGTTTCACGCAATTTGGAGGCTATATATACAGATCCTACGTAAACAGGCAGCACTTCTGCTTGCAGTCCTTTGCATCATTATGTTTTGCCATATATACCAAAGGTAAATTTGCCAATGTTGGTCCTTTGACTTTTGGTTAATGAAAATTATCCTCTGAGGCGTATCTGGTGTTATACTTTTGCAAATTAGAGACTGTTCCAAGAGAATCGTAAAGTAGTCTTGGCCTCGACAAGACTTCTTTCTTCATTTTCCTGTAATCCAGTCAGGTAAAATATGATCTTAATTCTCAAAACTTTCCAACAGTTAACGCTATCTATATGTCTGTCCCGTAGTAGATCATTGGTCAAGAGAATAACTTGACTAATCATAAAAATTACAATTTCCTCGATTTTGATTGGTTTAAAAAACTCTTATTTCCCACTAATTTACTTGTCAAGTTGTTATCGGACACCTTGTTATCGGACAGTTCAATAAGCCAATCACATTCAAAGTTTAGTTAAAATTATCCAATCACATTTAAAGTGTAGTTTAAATCAACCAATCACAACCTTGGTTTCAATCACCATAGAAGCAAGTGTAGAAACTCCAAAATTGGGGCTTTCTTCAAAATGGAGAATTTTTTCCCTTGGACAATGACTATATTTTAGAAGACAGTGACAATTTCTTTTATCCTATGGCACAAATCTGTATGCGAACTATCCAGACGAGTTCCTTTGTGGATATGTTGACATGTTCAGATGAAGTTCAGCCCTCCACAGCATTGTTTTATATCGCTTCGCAACAACCGCGGCAAACGGAGGTAAACATCCACTCGACTGAAATACCACTGCACAGTACGATAGTATTTCCTCTTCGAAAATCCTCATCTTGTTCCACAGAATACAGGAGCAATGGCAGTAGACCAAGCGAAGTTTTCCCCTTGTATTGGACGGAGAAATTTCAGAAATAAACAAGCTTAATAGTAAAACCGCAGCCTCCAAAAACATCGCTCGAGCAACTAAATCTAGGATGGCAGCATAGGTAGAATGTTGTAAAGCCATAAACATTAATGCATTAATCTGCCAGTAAAAGACGAGAATCATTTCACATTGCTAGCGGATACGTGCCTGTACAATCCAGTTCACCATCTGCGATTTAATCAACATTCCCTTTCCACAGTTCGGTGCCTGCATGCAGCTTCGGTAAATCCACCAGCTGTATGAGAATGTTCGACCAGCAGTCCCGCCCCAATCAGTTCAAACCAAGTTTCTTCATTAGCAAATGTGGCAGAATTCACCGGTATGTCGTCGTCCAAGTACAGCATGGCCACAAAATAAAATCTCTCGGCGCCATTTTAAATTTTAAACAGTTTTGTGTTTAAAACACCAGCAACTTGAGAGAAAGTCCCCGTCCCGAAAAGCCAAGGAAACGAAGAATCATCATTGACTCTGGCTCTGATGTTTACAACTTGAAGTGAGCTGTCTATCGACTCCAACTCAGCTTAAAAACCTTGAATTTTGTACGAAAAACTGCCCTGCAGGCTAGCGTTCGGAATTTTAACCAATTTCTGCAAAGTTCTGCGCAGTTCTGCGTTTTTCACGCATGGTTGCGTTTTTGACTGACGTAAGACTTGTTTTTCGCTCGTCACTTGGCAACCAGCAAATCATTTTGAATGTTGTCAATTTCAGAGCCGCATTTTTAAACTTGGCTATTCTTCTTTTCTCGGAAATTGTAATTTTTATGATTAATTGGTAATAAGACTTCGTGTCGTCCAATTCAGTCTGTAATCATACTCGTGATAAACAAATCAGACTCCCGCTGCGCGGTCGTCCGATTTTGTTATCACTCGTATGATTACAGACCGAATTGGACTCCACTAAGTCCTATTACCATTACTTATTCAACATTCCCTTTGCACAGTTCGGTGCCTCCGTGCCTGCAGCTTCGGCAAATCCACCAGTTGTATGAAAATGTTCGACCAGCAGTTCCGCCCCAATCAGTTCAAACCAAGCTTCTTCATTAGCGAATGTGGCAGAATTCACCGGTATGCCGTTGTCCAAGTACAGCATAGCCACAAAATAAATCTCTCGGCGCCATTTTAAATTTTAAACGGTGTTAAAACATCAGCAACTTGAGAGAAAGTCCAAAGTTACAGCTTGAAGTCAGCTGTCTATCGACTCCGGCTCAGCTTAAAAACCTTGAATTTTGCAGCAAAAACTGCCCTGGCTAGCGTTCGGAATTTTAACCTACTTCTGCAAAGTTCTGCGCAGTTGTGCGTTTTTCACGCATGGTTGCGTTTTTGACTGACGTAAGACTTGTTTTTTGCTCGTCACTTGGCAACCAGCAAATCCATTTTGAATGTTGTCAATTTCAGAGCGGCATTTTTATCACTTGGCTATTTTCCTTTTCTCGGAAATTGTAATTTTTATGATTAATTGGTAATAAGACTTCATGTCGTCCAATTCAGTCTGTAATCATACTCGTGATAAACAAATCGGACTCCCCCTGTGCGGTCGTCCGATTTTGTTATCACTCGTATGATTACAGACCGAATTGGACTCCACTCAGTCCTATTACCATTATTTATTCTGAAACAGATTACAGATGTGAAGTCCGTTAATATAAATCATAAGTAAGAACCAATTAGTATGCGAGAACAATTTTAAATATTAAATAATTAGCAATTATTGATTACGGCTTTCGTAAGATATGAAGAATTCTACAGATCTAGGAGGTTGTCATCCACCGAGGCCATTCAAATTATATCCCCGTTCTTAATAGTCTCCTTCGCAGCCGTTCTTTGTTTTTCTGCTCACCAAAAATAACACCAGGTTTTCTCGGTCAAAGGTTCAAAGGTTAAATAAGCTGCTGCGGGCTGCACTTTTGACGTGATTGGTTCAATGTGAGAAACTTGACTTATGACGTCATTGGTTCAGGTTATGGTGAATTATGCGCGTGGTTTTAACCAATCAGAAACGGGAAAATATTTTTAATGACTAATAATTAACAATTATTCCAGGAGGGTGCGTTGGATATGAGATCATGGATAGCCGGCAACGAGGCGCCTAGCACCGAGCTGGCTGTAATCATCTCAAATCCAACAAGCGCAAGTGGAATAATTGTTTTTGCAACAATGCTCTCAAAATACAGAAAACTAAAATAAAATTAAAAGAAAAACGCCCCCCCCCCGCCACCGAAAAAAATGACTATGCACGCGCTTACCATGTTTGTAGAGGGTTGTATAAATATGTTATTGACCAAGCGTCTTTTCTGCATGTTTATGAACCGTATACGCGCACAAAAAAAAAAGAAAAACCGAGGCCAATATCCAGCCATCTTGACTGAAAAAGCTTGGTCAATAAAGGATTTATTATTTTATTATTTGGTTTTCAAAGAAATCTATCTCGCGGGACACAGCGGGTAGTCCCGAGCGGGCAAGATAGCTCCATCTTGCCCGCTCACAGAAGTAGCCATACAATAAAATGGTTTATAGCTCTTGCGACTAAGCCAATAAAAACTCCTGAATTGCATTATCTAATGATTCAGTTGTTAAAAGTGTGGTTTTTTTTACATTATTATTGGGCTTTATAAATACGGAATGTGGTGCCATGTTTAATAGTAGGTGTTCGCTAACCTCTATGAAGATCATTGCCTCTTATTTTCGTAACAAGTGTTGCTCTAACATTTTTTTCTATTTTGTTATTGCTGATCAGAAATGTTGCCGGTATGGATTCTTCACGATGGTGATCACGTCTTTGCGCGGCAGGTGCCCCATCAGAGACGCAAAGCAATGAAGCAATGCCAAGCGTGACAAGTTCTTTCTCGTCAATTTTGGGGAATAATGGGAGTTCTGACATTTTTATAGGTAGCTACTGAGTGTGTTGGATGCGGTCGCCTGACCAACTGCTGAAGCCTCGTTAGTCTGATAATTGGTTGAAATTTTTGTAAAACGAAGCGGGATAAATAAAAATTTGCTTAGCAGAAAATGAACAGGTCTGGTGTGTGTATATTGCAGGATTCAGATTCGGGACAGCAGACTGTAGACTAACCCTAACATGGACCAAATATTAGCTAAAAATTTACCATAACTCTGGAGATTAGTTTTAGAGCTAATATTAACCTTGCAGTCAGCAGTCTGCAGTCTGTGTTTTACCTCGATCTGCTTCCATATCGCTCCAGCAACTTACAACTAACAGTTTGCATGTGATCGCCAGGATTATATCGTTACGGCATAATTAAAATACTCCAGAGAACCAGCGGCAGTGAAGTCAAACAGCGGTGCTGAATTCTCATACAAGCGTACACCCTTGGAACATTCAATGCATCGTGTGCGCTGAGAACAGGGTGTCGTCTGCTCTAACCAAGTTAGTAGTATACATGGCTACTTCAGTCGGTAACCAATCAGAGCGCGAGAAAGACAACAGGGGTATTGTTTTTTGGGGTCACGTGTTTCATTAGCATAGAAACGTCATCAAAAAATTCACGTGACCTCATGGGGTAAAGAACACGCGCACACAGAGTTTGACCGTGTGTGGAGTTGGGACGCATGCGCAGTTCTCCCCATGGCTTTGGCCCTGCGCAGTCACGTGAGTGGGATCGTAGGCACATGCACAGACCGCCAAAATACTTCCCAGGTCTCCCGCATTCACATGAGCCTATTTCGGCATAGACCTACTACGCACGCGCAAACATTCAAAAGCAGCCCCAGACCCCTCGCATCACCGGAAGTCATTGAAAAAAACACACTGTATTGAGGACAAAATCACTGCATTGGTTTTAATGAATCCCGAGTGGAGCCTGGTTACAAGCGGGACGTGTGTGACGTCCGAGCGACGTCAAGCTTTTTTTTACAAATCTAACAAGAGGTCGAGTTCGTCCCCAATCCTCTCTTAGCCATAGGGATAGCTCGATTTGGTAGCCACGTGGATGACACGCTTGTCGAACACCAACCCATACTGCTTTACGCGCGGAACCACTTGAATTTTTTTCTGTTCTAAATCCCGTTTGAAATGATGAGGGGTGACAATGTTCAAATTTCGGCGAGAGTCCTGAGGCGAGTCTAATTCCGGGAGAATATTGTTTTTCATGGTGTGAAAATTGAGAATAGCGGAGCCTCGGACGTTCAACGTGAAACCGCGTACCTTGCAAACCACTTTTCCTCCACGGTTCTGGTACCCATAATTCTTGGCGCCTCCAGAAACGAACTCGGTGATGACGTCCCCGTCGAGTTCATCCGTCATGTCCCCCAGAAAATCACCTTTGGGGATGGAGGGTTGACCGGGACTCCACTTGTACACGACACTATCGGTATCGAAATAAAGGACTTGCTGTTGAAGGGTGTCCAGGGACTCGTAGAGCTTGAGCCGAGCATGGCACGTGGTGAAAGCCGCCACAAAGATGTTGGTCTTGGTGCCTTTGATGGCATTGTCTTGGACACTGGTGTAGACGGCCTCCAAGATGTCGTCGGTACAGAGGCGGAGAATGCTGATATCGAGAGCGGCATCGGAGATGAGGCTGAACAAATGGGCGGGGTTTTGGACGGTGACGGTGGTGGGTTTGTTGATACGCTCACCGAATTTGCCCCAGAAGCTGTTCAACATCAACTTGGCTGTGGCCTTGCGACCGGGATTTTTGGCAATACTGGCGACATCGAGTCGGATGCCCTCTCGTGCCTGCTCTAGGGTCTGACACCAACTGGGCCACCCCGCCGATTCTTGTTTGATCTTTAACCACGTGTTCACGTAATTGGCGAAAAGACCCGTTTGGCGTTGCTCGGGGGGAAAATGCCAGACTTCGTGGATCTTGATCAGGGTGTACCCCTTTTCGACGGCTTTGACCAGCTCGGGCGTGCACCAGGTCCCGCGTAGCGTGCGATCCACGTCAGAATGAGGGCAATAATGGGTTCTGGTCAACATTGGTTGGGCTTGCTCCTCCTGGACACAGGTGCGACAGAGAGGAAACGTGAGCTTTTGGCCACAGCGTAGAGGCAAAACGGGGTGGAATAGGCCAGCTGGGGGAAGAATGTCCACGGTAGCTAGACCAAAATACGATCCCAGGGACTGGTCGACGGATTGGGTGATGATCTGGGGATGACCAATGGGGTAAGGGCAGTTCTTATTCACCCATGGGTAAAGGAAGGTGACGTCCACATAACGTACCTCTTCACCCTCCCCAGCCACAGCATGCAGGGCCACGGCGCCTGTCCTTCCCCCAAAAAAGGCCTCGCGGAGTTCCAGGGGTGGTACGAGATCGAAGGAAGCAAGAAACTGAGATACAACAGGCTCGTTGTCGACCAGTCGGTCCCACTCACACTCCCACATTTCGATGACCGTGTAGCCCGCTCGGAGCAGAGCCATGCGTTTGGATAGCGTGGCTTGATACAGTTCCTCGACGGTTCGATCAGGCGTGGCATAATGTTTGGTGTCTCTCACGGGAAACCAGGTGGGACATCCATGGTAGAGACACCCGTAGAACTCGTAGACGGTTCTGGTCAGGGGATCGTAGCCATCGACGAAATAGCTGTTGACGATGGTCCGGACGGACTGTTCGCCCCCGTTTCGGACATGTCGAATGCGGTCTGCATTGGCCCCCTGCTTGTGAATTTGGTGTTCTTGATAGTAGAGCTATTGCAGGGCTTTCAGCGATTGGTTGACCTGGGCCCCTCGCCATCCCCCAGAGGTTCGACGGCGATGGTGTCGGGGGTCAAATGGTGCTTGCGCCAATACATATTGCAGGCACTGGCGATGGTGATGCACTTGGCCATGGGATTGAAGCCAGCCTGCCGTTCAAATTCTTGTTGAAAGGCTTCACAACCGGCTTTCAACAGAGCCACATCAGACTTGCAGTACTCGATCATTTCGTGTTTGAAATGAAAGGGCACGTTACGACGGACTTGGTCCGCATGCCAACGACTCAGTTCGTCTTTCTTTTTGGCCATCATGCCATCCGGATCGTAAAATTCCAAATCGGGAATCCGACCCACGTACTGTTGGTGGTCGGGGGTATTGAACAAATGAGGAAAGAATCCCTTCTTTAATTCGGTCAAATTGAAGGTGCTGGGAAAGGACGCCAGTGGCATAGGTAAAAAACACAACGAGTCAATGAATTTGACGGCTCCGCTCTTGAAGGACAACACTTTGGCTCCCACCGTGAGTTGGTCCACCACTTCGCGTTGTTGCTGATACAGTTCGTGCAGAATAAACATGCCGTCGAAGCGTTTCAAATTGTGAAACACCACGAGAATTTCCCGTTCACCCTCCCTGTCCGGGATGTCGGTGAGATCATCTAAATGGCGCAAAAATTGTAGGGCACAGTCCTCCCCGTCCAACACATGAATAGTCGTTTCTTCGCTCGTCGAATAGCATAACAAATTAGCCACAAACACTCCCTCTGCATTCTGCATGGCTTCAAAATCCGCGTAAACAAACAGGGGAGGGGGTGGCGCCACCATGCAACCTCCCCCCTCCTCTGTCGGTTCAGACTCCTCATCCTCCACCACGGGTTGAATGTAACACTTGTGGTCCTGGATGGACACTCGTGCCTGACAGACGGGACATTTGGCGTGCCCGCACTTGTGGCCTTGGTTGGGAACCACGGTGTACTGGGCCTGACACTGGAGACAGGTTTTGACCGATAGACATCGCTTGGTGACCACATGATGACGTCTGCAATAGGCACCGTAAAACGTGCAATGACATAGGGGGCAATAGTCGGTGGGTCGGGTGCCACGCACATAATCCCGACAGTCAAATCGATTACACGCGGTGCAACGTCTCCCTTGACAAATGTGATTCGTGCGATCGTCGGTGTTGAAGCCCCTTTCACAGTCTACACAATAATACGAACGATTGACAAAAGCAGGAAAGGACGTGCAGCCATCAAAATGATCATTGATTTGAGTAAACGGATCTGATGGGGAGCGGCCGGTCCTTTGAACATCAAAAAGAACTGTTTCATCCGGGTCATCACCAAGAGTTGGTATTGGGACCCCAACGCCTGTTGAAATTGGCGAAGCTCTGGCAAACCGCAGGGACCCTCAGCCACCCCCGCTTTACGATGTAATGCCTGGGCTTGTCGTTGCTGCACTGGGTACCCTTTCTTTAAACTGTCCCATTGGCGAAGAAAAAGCGGGACCCCGAGCAAAATAAGAGTAATCAAAAGTGTTATCGAGAACGGAAAAAGGCGTCCGTGGACGGCGTGGAGCGAGTGAGGGCCCAAAACCGTCGACGTTATTACGAACGTATAGCCCGTATGAAAGCGACTGGAGAGTACGAGGTCTTTAAGGCCAAAAAGACCGCGGAGGGGATGCGGCGTTTGTCCGAGGAGAAGCGCAACGAGATCAGGCGCAAGAACCGCCTTTTAAACAAAGCATGGATAGAGTGAATTGAAGGAGGAGGGGACCTACAAGGCCTACAAACAACGCTTGAATGCGCGGCGGCGGGAGAAAGTGGCTGCCAAAAAGCAAGCCATGGGTGTGGAGGCGTGGAAAGCCCTCCAGAAACAGAGATATACTAGGCGCGTAGCGTCCCAGACCCGTCAATGGTGGGAATGGTTGGACCAAGAGTTGGAGCGTCCCTTTCCCCTACCGTGGTTGCCGTTGGATTGGGCAGAGTCTGAGACTGAGGAGGACACTGTGCAAACTAATCGTGCAAAGGCGTTACAGCAGATGAACCATTATTTGTAAGAACAAAATGAGTTTTATTAAAGCATGTGTAAGTACAATTCCAACGTGTCTTTTTTTGTTTACATGCCCAATCTGAGTTTAGCTTCCATAATGTTTTTGACAATGCGTTCCGTCAGGCTTTTGCGGCCGGGGAGTTGATCAATCTTGGCAATCATCTTGCGATCGGCTGCCCATTTATCTTTCAAGGTCTTGGCCTTGTCATAGTCAATGTCGTGAGCTTTGGCAATTCTGTCTAACCGGTTGATGTCGGGATCCCCGCGGGCCAATCGTTTTTTCAAATGGGTGCCAGGTCCCATGTACTGATAGCGAAGCCAATGAAATTCTATGCCCGTTTTGTTCAACAGATTTTGCTCATCAAATAACTTGCCCCCGCGTTGCGAGCGTCGTCGTCGCCTCTGACGGGAACGAGGCGCAGCACGGCGTCTCTGAGTCCGTCCCATCACGGGGTTTTCCACGTTTTCCAATCCAAGGCTTTCTTGGCCAGACTTGCGGCTTTCTTTTTGGCTGCGTCGGTGGTTTTCTTTCGGATAGTTCGCTTGACCGCTCTCTTGATATTTTCCACACGTTCACTGGGTGTATCCCAAGGTTCTACACCGATCGTGCCTGAAAAGGTTAACTCTTGAGCCAACTCTTTGGTGACCACCGGGGGCGTGAACTTGAGTTTCTTTTTGGCACTGGGGGTGATCTTGGGTTTGGGCGGGACAGGTGGTTTTCTGGGTCCTGCAGACGAGGTGCCTTGTTTTATACCCTGGCTCGCCCTCACCAATTGCGTGAACCATGCTTGCACGGGACCCGCCTCAAAATCATCGTCGCCGGGGGTGCTGGCACCTGTCGCGCTCACACCGCTAGCTGGGGCCCCAAACGGTTAGCGGACATTTTTGGTCCAATGGTGTAATTGACGTCCCACGGCTTTGAGTTGAGGCCGTTTTCAAGCATCGGGAACATCACTGGTCAAGAGCACATGTTGTTTGGCGGCTAAATCGGCGGCTTTGGTCAAACGCGTATCTTCCACCAATTCTTGTCTGTACTTGATTCGTAATTGTAAAAAGGCAGGGGCGTTGTCCACCGTGGTGCTGACCATCTCTGGTTCCATGGTGCAACTGAGGGTAGGATCTAGCGCATGCAACGTTTATAAGATCGGTAGAGTTCGGGCCAGAGGGTGCCGCCTTTTTGAGCCATCATGATGGCGCGTCGTCGTTTGACGGAATGAGCGAGTTTGGCCATGGCGCGTAGACTCTGTGCATGGGGTTTGAGCAACGTAATCGTGTGTCGGGAAGGGGGAACCGTGCCACGGAGGGTGTTCATCACCAATTCACTGATGGCATTGATTTGATCCGCATTGGCCATCCGTAACAATTCTTGTCGTTTATGCTGATTCGCCTCTTGTAAGACGCTTTTCAAGAACGGGGCTTGACGCTCCATGCGCCACTCCATGCTGGAAGTTGAGTGTCCACCACGACCCAGGTCTATTTATGGTAAATTGAGCCCCACACCTACGACACAGTTCCCCATGATAATGCTTTTGCATGTGATCTCGACACCGTGGACACAGGGCTGCCTCGATCTGTTCATTCCACTCTAAACAAAACGTGACGGCTTTTCTTTTCTTGGGAGAGGTCACGTTAACGTCGGCGAGCCCGCCGTTGGCGTTTCTTCTTGAACGCCCAAGGCGAGAGAGCCATTGCCAACATGGGTAGCACGCCTCCACGTTGCAATCCACGTCGCCGGCGTCGTATTCGGGGGACATAGCGATGGCGGCGTCCGTTGGGTCCACGGACCATCGTTTCCAACTAACCCTTGTCCGGACCCACCAAGCTCTTCTTATACGTTTTGTCACATGATAGAACAATTGAACGATTCACCCGCATAGCGTTTCCGTTTGCCTTGTTCCACTTCCCGTCGGCGTTTTTCGGCAATTTTGATGGCTCGCTTGGTTTGATGCTCCCCTATGGCTTTGGTGATCCCATAACCGGCTTTGCCAATCCCCACAAGCAGGCCAGGCGAGACACCCCCCATTTGACCATAGGTCATACGCCGTTGTCGTTTGGCGGGTGTTCGACGTCGAGTCGTGGTGCGTTTGCGTTTGCTTTTGGGTCCCATGACGCATCATGCTAAGTGCTGAATACCACGAGTCTCTTTTATACATTCACATCAAGCTGCACCCCATTTTTTCGGCCAACCCCTTCTTGACCAACCACTTGTTGTAAGAATCCCTGGTGCCACTAGCGCGATACGCGCGTTTGTAGTTGGCCACCTGTTGTTTGGCGGCCCTTACTTCGGCCTTGGAAGGAATCTTCCTCAGATCCTCGTCCGTCAACAACTGAAACCCTTTCTTGAAATCCACCACGATCGGTGCATTTCCACCCTTCATCCTACGCCGACGTCGTTGGCGTTTGCGTTTAGGGGCCGTGGCGCTTCGACATTTGCCACACAGGGACACTGGGACACTGTTTTTATATCCTTTTGTTCATGAGCGTCGACCCTGTCCACGCGCTCGGCCGCGGCCACGGCCCCGTCCTCGGCGTGGTGGCGATGGGGGCGGACTTGGACTGGACGCGCGGGTGGAGGTGCGGCGCCCAGAGGGTCGACCTCCTCCATCTTCGTACACCGTGGTGACGGTATTGGTATGTGTGATATTTTGAATACGTCTGCCTCGAGCACGTTGTTGAGCATCTTCACTGAGCAAATCCAATCGTCGCCTTAATCCCCGTCGTCTGTCGTCATCGTCATCATCGCCATCATCATCCTCCGATGGTGGAGGGGAAGGATCGGGGGACGGAGGAGAGGGTGCCCGGGGACGGCGTCGCGGTTGTTTGGCGGCGATGGTAGGACGTCCAGTGAGTGTTGTCACCGTGGAGGTGGTGGTCCTGGGGCCTGCTCCGGTGCTGCGACGGGCGGTGAGGGGGCGCGAGGGAGCCGTGGTGGTCGTGGCGATGGTCACAGGTCGTGTTCGAGTGGAGGTGACGGGTAGGGGTCGTCTGGAGGTGGCCGTGGTGGTAGTGGTGGGGGCGGTGGTGATCGGTGGAGGTGCCGTGGTGGTGATGGGTGGGGCGGTGCCCGTACCTGCTACGGGGGGTAGCGTGAACGCATTCTGGGCATCGTCCACATTGACAGGTAAGGACAGGTTGAAATCTTCAATCTCTTGGTCCAATTGGGGTCGATCGACGGGTCGAGTCAATTCAGTGACCATGTCGGTCATGGTACTGATATCCTGGGAGGGAGGCGGCGCGGTGGGGGACCCTACGCCCGCAGGTGAGAAGGTCGGGGCATTCATGCGGTCCGATAAGTCAGTGTGTTGTCCGCCTTCTCTTCGTCGGCGGACCCTGGCGAGTTCTCGTTGCAGCTCGTTGTCGAACGGCAGGGACATCCGCACGCAAGGTGTGCACTTGCGCCTTGCCTTCTCGAGGCGTTAAATGACTCCACAATCGGTAGCGATCATCCGAGGCAGGATGCACATCCAACATCAAATAGCCAAAGGGGCGGGACGTGACGCGTTTAAATTGGCGCAAGACTTGACGCCATCGGTCGGGGAAGGCTTGCAGTAAAATGGTTCGTATACCCGTTTGATCTCGGGGGTTTTTGAACGCCACGATGTAATGGGCATTGCGATTGATGGTCTTGGAAAATTTACCAGGGGGGAATAAATCTTGCGTAAATACAGCACGGTGATGTTGCGATGATGGGAATCTTTGGTGAACAAATCCAACACGCGTTTGTCTTGTCCCCCTTCTTCCATGAGATCGTCCAAGACCAACACCCCTCCGAGCGTCCGACCAAACCACTGGGTCAAATGAAGGGGATCCGGTAACCCGCGATGAAACTGAATGCCATCCTGTTTTTGCATACGATCGAACCGGGGTTGCCACTTGGCGTCAGCACCTTATTTCCAAAATAGTCTCTAATAATCTGGTTAATTGTCGATTTATCTCGAGGGTTTGTGTGATCATCGAAGTAAATTTGAATTATTTCATTCCTGTTCCTTGGCTTCTGAGTCCATTCCGATATTTCAGTCATTCCCTCTGTTAACTCCTTGTCCCATGGCGAGCAGCCTATTTTAAGATCCCCGTTGCCATGGCTCATTCGAATCTTACCAAAACAATTCCACAGGTCAATTTCAAGATGGCGCACACCCATGTTGAGCTGGTCAGTAAAGCTGAATTCCTGATTGGCTACTGAGATGCAGACCTCGTCATCTTTCACCGGCCATTGGCAATCGTCCAAATCACCATAACCGCTTGCTCTGTTATTAAAGGCATTATGAGCCCCCAGAAATTGCACACGATTAACAGGGATGTCGATTTGAAGTTCTCTTTGAGTCTTCAAGGCGTATTGAAGCCAAGATGAAATCCTCGCGGTACCTTGAAGGCAAATTCCATGAAATCCGCACTTAGAGCAGTTCGTACCTTCACTAAGCTGATCGCACTGAGCTGTATTTCCGTTTCGCCGACGCAGAGATCGCTTGTTTTTCCCACCCTGTGATCGAAGGTGAAACTTTATGCCACCAGTGCGGCTTTTACGAACGTAGACGCTAAGATATCTATCCTTTAAAGGTCCCTGTTCAATCTGATACAAAACATGTAGCTTGTAAAGCACTGAAGAAGGCGACCGGGTATTTTTCGCGCAGTCTAGAATTCTTCTGAGTTTTAGACTCTTAAGAGTGTGTCCATGAGAAAACCAGGCAGAACCAGGCAGGGGGTGATAATGCTCAAATCACCGATTTCGCTCAAACTTGGCACAAATGTTAGGTATCAGGAGTTAGCTTATGTGACAGAATGTCAGGTCAAAATATTAAATTCCCTGGGAGGTCCGGGCTCCCCCTGTAAAAATCGCCATTTTGCACGTTTATGCATAATTAATTAGCTAACTTTACGATGCCAGTGCTACAAACAGAAAAGCCACCTGGAACTTAAATGCACTGAGAGATAATCTGACATCATAAGACTTTAAGCACAATAAACTGTTTAAAGTCGCCGATTCGATTTCCCCCCTCTTAGCCCCCTTAAGTTGGGTCATCATTTCCAAGTTTTGAGTAAGACGTAAAATTAGGGTATTTTATTCCCAAATATCTCTGATGAGCAACCGCTTATCTTTATAACTTTTGCATGAGTAGTTAAAGGCATCACTTAAGTTGAGAAAAAGATTATAAAAAGTTTGGGCAATTCACTTTCTTCCATGTGCTGACATAAACTGTTCATGTGACTGAACGACTTTTGCATATTTCATCAAAATTCAGGCCCTCACAATATTCGTGTGTTTGCCTTTGAATGAGGAGAAATCGAAACAAAAAAACTCATCAGACAATGATTTAACATTAATAAGGGTAAACTCATAAAAATTGTTGTGCAAGAAACGCTAACGATGATTTTTGATACCTATATACGCGATCTTTTCAAGTAAAAACAACATACAAAGATTCAATTCACAGTTCTACTTACTTTAACAATTTCGCCCTAAAAACAATATAAACGATCAATAAATACATATACGTATCTCTTAGATGTCTCAACTGCTAGTTTGTGCCCGCTTTGATTTGTTCTTCATGCCACCTTCGATGTCCAGTTCAGCGTAGTTCAGCGTCGTGACTCGCTGTACGACTAAAATTCCTTAGCCATCAGTTTACGCACCAAAATCCAAATAAAGTTGTTTTAGGACAAAACAATTCGAAAGGTAAAAAGCCGATTCTTAACCCATTGAAAGAATTATTTCTGCCACTGTTGTAGCTCAATTCACATGTTGGAAACGTCCGACATCTTTGACATTAAATGGAGCCCGCATTTTAAGCAGCGGTTGCCACCACACAGAAACATAGTACCGGGAGTCAGGAACCAGGAGCCAGGAGCCAGAGTTCAGTGAACAAAATGACTTTCCGGCATTCTCTGAGATTATTTTATTGTTATTGTATGCTGATAAATAATTTAGAATTCCAAATCTCCAGTGGCATAAAAATTGTCTAAAAATTGCACGGCACGGTCTGACTACAAAAAGGGCTATTATGGACTATTATTATCATGGTAATTAATGTCAACATCGAATAAACTCAAAATTTCAAGTAACACGACTTTCACAACCTATTTTCAACACACCAGTTATAACAGGATATTTGCACGTACAACAAAAAATAGCGCATTCCGCATTCCGGATTCCGGGAGTCCGGCGTCACAGATTCTATCTTTTTGGCAGAGTCTAAAGTCAAAGATGGAGGGTGT